ATCATCTATATATATAAAAATCTAAATTGAAAACAACGTTCAAACCTATGATTGCGTTGGATAAAACCCGCAATTTTTATACGTGTGCATGTAAAACAAATATATATATATATATATATTCCGGCATGTAAACTCGTTTGAAAGCGTGACAAATATCAAATTCTGTTTCCAATAACCTTTGAAGACATGGCCACCGGAACCTTATTCCATACAACCTTATCTAATGACTCTCATTTAAAGCATTATTATCTTCCTATGTATACTTACACTATTACCAATCGACTGTCTTCTTAAATTGTATAAACTCACTGTAGGGGACACACAATTATTATAATAATATCATGTAATTATCACTTCAAAAACTAATTAACTGGTATTATGCATATCATTATCAACACTATATAGAAAATTATCCGGTTAATTTGTACGATATAAACACAATCTGATCTTCTTGTATTAGTTTGCAAACTGATATGCATTTACAAAATTAATTGTCCGTTTAAAATTTGAAATTCAAAAGAAACTAAGATTTCAACTGCCTCAGGCAAAGTTGAAAGAAAGAAGTTTGCTGCTCTTGTTTCTTACTTTTTGTAAGATATTCGGAATCCTCTGGCTTTATCCATGTTGTGCTATTTAAAATATGTACGATCCAAACATGCTAAACAAAACCTGATCGTAAAACATATACGCTGAAAAATTCAACTCACCAACATTTATCGAATTTTCTCTTTTCCAACACCATCCTTTAAAAATATCTTTTACAGATTATAACTTGATGATAGTTTATTTTGAAAAACAGTATATCATTTCAAAACACTACCTTAGTGCATCAACCGTGATATTGTAGATAACCCCAATTTCCATACAACCTGGCAATGATAGTTTTAGCAATTACTTAGAATAATCTATTGTAAGATACCAGAAAAATCATATACCCTGTAATAACACCTATTGTGACATGTTGTCTGTAAGTAAATGCACTACGAACCAGTTAAAGTCTAAAAATGACACATTTTTGTACGTGACTGTATTGATTTTTACTCGGCCATTCTGATTGGTCCGAATTTTACTAGCTATCACTCGACTGTAGTGTAAACCATTCTAAATAGTCTATATTTGTCGACCCTTACTTTGACCATACTGAAAATGTAAATTGTATCTGAAATGATAAAAATATCGACGCTCTTTATGCCATCCAAAGATGAAATGTTTCTAATAACATCAGAACTAAAAGAATGAATGAACGGCCACCGATTCGTTATTTTTCATGTGAAACTTGTGAAACTTCTTTAAATAAAAATCTTTTCAAGTTTCAGTCTCCTTACGTCGAATTTTTAGAGTCGTATACGAACTAAAATAACAAGAGACAACACATACATTTGAATCAAAGCCAGCTTTTTATGATGATTCACTTGCATTAATCGAACTGTGATTACACTGGTAAAGGTTGGTCTATCATTTTAAAAGAATTAAAATAATACCTAACAGTAAGCCAAATGTAAATGGTTCCTTACTTCGCCATTTTAGTGGAAATACCAGTGATTTGTCGTCAGTTCTTTTGAAAACTTAGCAAGGCATTCAATGAGATAGGTTTAAATCAAGGTGGTTCAAGTTTTATTAAGTCAGTATTGGAATAGCACCAGAAGCTCCTGCTAAGGTCATTTTTTAACAATGATATTATCAAACTCGTTTGTGTGTTTGAAAAAACATCAGACATTGTGAAAACTTTACAATTTCACAAACATGTTTATGAATCTTCCAGTTTTGTTTTTGACATTTCTTTGAACAATACGTGGCTGTTTTACATCTGCTACATGTTTTTCGACTGCGGAGAAAACACTGAAAACATAATTTAATTATGGGAGGGTTCCTTGTAAACCACGTGTTGTACAAAAAAACCAACGCATGGAACTTTGCTGAATTGAATTGGTATATTTTCTGTTTCAACTCTTTTATATCGGTCTAAACATATTCTCAGAGAAAGCATTTCCTTCCATGACATGTATAACATCATTAGAGCTATTGGTGTTCAACCCAATAGTGAAAAAAACACCAGGTTTGCAGGTTATATGCAACATTAGGATGGTGAACCCGTGAATTTGTAAAATATCTTGTATATCTTCAATGGACCAATCAGCCCCCTTGTATTTTCTTTTAATTAAGAACTTGAGCAGAAAATAGTAAGTATTGCTGTCCACAAAACCCCTATACTCAATTATTGAATATCTTTCACTTGAATTCAATGAAATACCGAAGTATTTGAAAATTTCATACTTCATAGCGTTGGGAATAATTGGAAGTTCCGTTGGTAGGAATAAAATAGATGTAGACTCGAACACTTGTGGAGTTTCAAAAATAGACGGATTATTTTTTCTATAACGATTTAAGTGCCATTCACAGTCTTTATAACAACCAACAGTGTATAATACGGATATAAACTTCAGGTATCCAGTTAAGTCACCTTTCGTGAAGTAAGTCAAAGATCCCAACAAAAGGAAATTGCGAACCTGAAGATTCGGTTGGCGGATAGACATTGCAGATATATGACTAGCCAAGTACGTATAGATAACGGATGTTAACAGCGATAGAGAACGTCGTGTGTCTTCCATTGTGTACGCAAACATAGTGCCCGTAGTTTGAATGTGATCTAGCAAATCCCAAAGAAAATCTATCAATTTTGGACTGTTTTGGGTGGATATATGTACACTTAAAGTATTTACTGCAAATGTGGCAGGTTTCGTATTCATTCTGTATACAGTTTCTCTACATAATTTTTTGCTATTTTCTTGAAGCCTATGAAGCGATGTGAAAGACTCCCGTGATTCGACATAGTCACATATGTTATTTGATTTTACAAAACGCAAACAATGAAATCCCTAATTCAAAAGTTTTACTATTTTTTTTTCTGATTCTGTACTCAAACTTTCAGTAAGTCGTCCATGAAAAAGGTTTTCTCTTGGGATGAAGTAGTTAGGGCAAAAACAATGTTTAACCCATACTGACATTTGTTTTATACACAGTTTAACACAATGCAGAATAAGGTTTTTTTTTCCAAACATCCAATTTATTCTTCTCTATCACATAAAATAAACAATTACTTTAATTCAGATGATAAAATTCCAATAACATGATATTGTCTTCTTTAAAACCCAATTATTAGCGGGAAACGTCAAATGAAAGGACTTCGTTGAGGATTATATAAGCCTTTCCACGTGAAATATCTAAAGCTTAGAAATAAGAAACCAGTTACGAACGTTTAGGAGCTGATGCAACCAAAAGGAAAAGGTAAACCAAGACACGGAATCAGAGTGTGCATTAGGGAGACGAATTTCTTAACTTCAAATGATTTTTCTTTTAGTATGTCTCAAATAAATGTATCACTTCAAATATTATGAAAAAACTAGTGTCATGCAAGTACCGAAGTAAACTTAATTGTTGTAATCAGAAATTAGCTTCGTTGTCAATTGAACTTAAAATTAAAAAAAATGTATGATTTAATTTATTATTATTAAAAGACATTTCAGTTTTTATGAAATTACAAATGTCTTATATTTTGTGATATTTCAAAAAAATCGTACTTCCTACAGTAAGCCTTTTAAGGCTTTGTGTTGATTAAGAAAACACCATTTTGTCCATTGCAATGAGCTATTTCGTCAGTCAGATAAATGGGCTTAGCAAACAATCTTTATCAATCAGTTAAAGCAATTCCTGCAGTCTGAATGTCCTAATGAAGGTTCCTGTCGAACTATATAAAGTGTTTTCATTTTGTACGTAAACAGTAAGACTATATGTGCAACCCCTTACAATAAATATGCAACAATATTAGTGTCATGATGTACACATATGACCTCAAAGTAATGGAATTTTACCAAAATAAAAACAAAAAGAACCAATGACAAATTAGCAATTTTACAGTTCTCCGAATTATAAAGTATTAGATTAGTCTTTGGTCTTTCCTTCTAAGCTTCTAAATGTTCACATTGTATAATGTATCCAAGTATTCCCAACATGAAACTTGAAACACATTTGCAAGAACAGTTGAGCTAGTATTTGTTTAACTCGTCAGCATATCTTTATTGTTGTTTTTTTTATATGTATGTAAACTCGTTTGAAAATAAACTCATCATAGATACCAGGATTGAAATTTAGTATTTGCTCCAGACGCGCGTTTCGTCTACACAATACTCATCAGTGACGCTCGAATCAAATAAAATAGTTAAAAAGGAAAAATAATGTACAAAGTTGAAGAGCATTGAGGACCAAAAATTCCAAAAAGTTTTGCCAACTAGGTAATAGCGTGACAAATATAAAATTCTGTTACCAATAACCTTTGAAGACATGGCCATCGGACTGCCTATATAATCAACCTTATTCCATACATCTTATCTAATGACTCTTCACTTAAAGCAATATTATCTTCCTATGTATACTTACACAATTACCAATCGACTGTCTTCTTAAATTATATAAACTCTCAGTAGGGGACACACAATTATTATAATTATATCATGTAATTATCACTTTAAAGCCTAAATAAGTGATATTATCCATATCATTTTCAACACTATATAGACAAATATGTGGTTAATTTGTACGATCAAAACACAATCTGATCTTCTTGTATTAGTTCGCATACTGATATGCATTTACAAAATTAATTGTCCGTCTAAAATTTTAAAATTAAAAAGAAACTAAGATTTCAACTCTCTCAGGCAAAGTTGACTGAAGGAAGTTTGCTGCTCTGATTTCTTACTTTTTGTAAGATATTCGGAATCCTTTGGCTTTATCCATGTTGTGCTATTTAAAATGTGTACGATCTAAACACGCTAAACAAAACATGAACGTAAAACATATACATGTACGCTGAAAAAATTCAACTCACCAACATTTATCGAATTTTATATTTTCCAACAACATCCTTTAAAAATGTCCTTGACAGATTATAACTTGATGATAGTTTTTTTTTTAAATACTGTTTATCATTTTAAAACACTCCCTAAGTGCATCAACCGTGATATTGTAGTTAACCCCAATTTTCAAACAACCTAGCAATGATAGTTTTAGCAATTACTTAGAATCATCTGTCGTAAGACACCAGAAAAATCATATTACCTGTGATAACACCTATTGTGACATGTTGTCAGTACGTGAATGCACTACAAACCAGTTAAATTCTAAAAATAAAGAATAACCGGTTTGATTCAATTTTACAAATTCCGTCAATAATGTTATGGCAGGTGTATTAGCCACCTCCCCCGTGCATAGTATGCTTTCTATTGCTTATTCATCGTTAAAATGGAAAGCAAATGAATCTTTTTTGTATAACGTTTAAGCGTTTGGTTTTCGTTACCAACGTTTACTGTCACAATATTTGGATAATTTGGAAAATGTAAATTACATCAGATACTGAAATGATTAAAGTATCGACGCTCTTTATGCCATTCAACATGTCCAAAGATGAAATGTTTCTGATAACATCAAAACTAGAAGAATGAATGAACGGCAACCGATTCGCTATTTGTCATTTGACACTTTTTTTAATAAAAATCTTTTCAAGTTTCAAGTTTATTCAGTCAGTATGAGAACAGCACCAGAAACTCCTGCCAATGCCATTTTTAACAATGATATAATCAAACTCGTTTGTGTTTTTGAAAAAAACATCAGACTTTGTGAACACTTTTTACAATTTCACAAACATGTTTATGAATCTTCCAGTTTTGTTTTTGACATTTCTTTGAACAATATGTGGCTGTTTTACATCTGCTACATGTTTTTCGACTGAGGAGAAAACACTGAAAACAAAATTTAGTTCTGGCAGTGTTCCTTGTAAACCACGTGTTGTACAAAAAAACCAACGCATGGAACTTTGCTGAATTGCATTGAAATATTTTCTGTTTAATCTCTTTTATATTGGTCTGAAAATATATTTTCAGAGAATCCATTGCCTTCCACGACATGTATAACATACTTAGAGCTGTTGGTGTCAACCCAATAGAGTAAAAATACCAGGCTGTCAGGTTAAATGCCACATCAGGATGGTGAACATTTGATAAGATGGAAGTTTTAAAAATATCACGTATATCTTCCCTGGAAGAATCAGTCGCCCTGTATTTTCCTTTAATTAAGAACTTGAGCAGGAAATAGTATATATTGCTGTCCACAATAGCCCCATATTCAATTATAGAATATCTTTCACTTAAATTCATTGAAATACCGAAGTATTTGAATATTTCATACTTCATAGCGTCGGGAATAATTGGAAGTTCCGTTGGCAGAAATAAAATAGATGTAGTGTCGAAAACTTGTGGAGATTCAAAAATAGACGGATTTTTTTTTCGAAAACGATGTAAGTGAAATTCACAGTCTTTATAACAACCAACAGTGTATAATACGGATATAAACTTCAGGTATCCAGTTAAGTCACCTTTCGTGAAGTATGTCAAAGATCCCAACAAAAGGAAATTGCGAACCTGACGATTCGGTTGGCGGATAGACATTGCAGAAATATGACTAGCCAAGTACGTATAGATGACGGGTGTTAATAGCGATAGAGAACGTCGTGTGTCTTCCTTTGTGTACGCAAACATAGTGTTCGTAGTTTGACTGCGATATAGCAAAAGCCAAAGTAACTCTATCAATTCTGTACTGTTTTCGGTGGATAAATGTTCACTAAAAGTATTTAGTGCTAATGTGTCAGTTTGCGTATTCATTATGTCTACAGTTTTTCTATATAATTTTATGCTTTCTTCTTTAAGCCTTTGAAATGATGTTAAAGACTCCCGTGATTCGACATAGTGACATATTTTACTTGATTTTACATAACGCAAACAATGAAATCCGTCATTTAAAAGTTCTACTAATATTTGTTCTGATTTTATTCTCAAACTTTTAGTAAGTCTTCCATAAAAAAGGTTTTCTCTTGAGATGAAGTAGTTTGGGCAAAAACGATGTTTAACCCATTCTAACATTTGCTTTATACACAGCTTAACACAATGCAGCAGAAGGTTTTTTTTCCAAACATCCGATTTATTATTTTCTATCACATAAAATAAACATGTCTTCCAATGGTATGAAGTAATGCATTCCAAATTTATAATATCACGATTTAACATCTTGAGAAGAACATAACATTTATATTGGACATCTGTTAAACTAGATACGAGTGTTCGCTCTTGTAATGTGAGAGATATTCGCCATTCTAAATCTATTTCTGAAGAACAAGGATGGCCTTTTCTAACAACAAAATACCCCAGTGGTTTCAGCTCATCGAAAGTAGATTTTGTTGGCCATCCATTATATCTACGTCTGGTGAGCCATTCCTGTGCCTCTGTTGGCCATTGTTTGCAACGGTAACACCAGACCATATCACATTTTGCCAATGTATCATTGTATTTAACATCAAATACAGGTCCGAGTTGGGCAGCACACTTGTTATGGGGTCTTGAAAAATGACAAAACCGTTCTCCACTATCATATGCAAAATTGGTCAGAACTATTCGTTCAAATCTATCAATTTGGAAAAACCGTTTACAATCAATTTCAATAAGGGAAAAATGTCTAATTGTGTATGGTACACTTCTCTTTACAAATTGTAGTTTGCAATAACCAGGAGGTGTATCTTGTTCTTTAATGATCAATAGGGAATCTCGGTTTTTTTCAGCTTTTGATATGTCCTCGATGACATCAAGACTGTCATCACAACCGATAGCATCAATGTCAGTAAATATACCTGTCAAAAATATATGCATGGTGTTAATACACTCCTTAAGATTTTTTACATATTTTGTCTCATTTCATTTTGACCCCCTACAACATCAAATAACAAAAATACCGCGCTCAAAACGGAAAGACCCTGATCAAACGGCAAAATCAAAAGCTCAAACAAATCAAATGAATGGAAAACAACTGTCTGATTCCCTACTTGGCACAGGCATTTTCTGATGTAGGAAAAGGAAGATTAAACCTGGTTTTATAGAATATATATTGTTTATATTTAAGTATGTGCAGTTCTTTTTTTCTATGATTTTAGACAAATAGTTAGTGTTTATTCTTTTAGAATATATGTGTTCTGAATTGTCAGTTTTCCGTAGTTTGCACAATTTTAGTAATGTACGTTTGTTCTGCTTTTTAACGCTGTTTTTGTAATAATTTTTAAATGTTTTGATTCGATTGCCCCTAGTGAGTCTTATTTAATCAAATGTGCTTAATTGCGTTGATGTCATTGCTAATTGACTTTTTGTCGCCGACGGTATCACGAACTAAGTTGTAAACTCTTTAGTGTGAACAAGACATATAATTGATATTTTTTTTAACTATTTTCTGCTAATTCAATGTATATTTAAAGTTTAATTATTCGATATACTAGGGTGTTTAACTCCAGATATCGATTTTAAAACCTTTTGAATTTCTGTTGTGCTTATACTCTTCAAAGTCTTATTTGATTTGCCTTCCTCACTCTTTTAATATCTTTTTTAGGTTTTTTATCTCTCCGTATTACCCTAACCTCAAAACAATAAGGTATTTGCACACAATTATCACAATGTGTTCTCTGAAGCAATAGCACACTTACACCTTTTCTTGCCTCTTGCATGCATAACATTTATCTGCCACCCTTATATCATTAATATTGTGTTTAATACAAGATTATTAGCGAAGTTCCTTGTTTCTGATAATGAATATGAAGAACTTCTTCCTACTTGCTTTTCCTTTTTTTCTCTTTTTTTTAATTTACATATATTTTTTGTATACTTAATCTTAAATTACACATTTTATTCCAAATACAATTTGATTTAAGTTTAAAAAGTGCGAAAGGGACATGTAATAACAATAAGCACTTATCCAGTATAGTTAATAATTTTATTTAAAGGTTATGATTTAAACGCTTAAATACTTCCAGTATAAAAAAAAAATGGGCAGATCTTTAATACTAGTACTGTATGTTGTAGCATTTTCCATACCTTTAAATATTGCTGACAAACTCAGTGTGATTGTGTTTATTGTCCTTAGTTTTAGATGATTTTAGATGACAAAATGTTCATCATTAATGACACTGACTAATGAAGCAATATGATGGTTTGTATAACACATGTTGGGTTGAATAGAAGGGGTTTAACAAAATGTTAAACATATAAGTGGAGTTTCTCGTTCATTGAAAAAGTGGTTGTGCTTGTAACAAATTATAGCATTCAAAACTTATCAATACGATTGATAATTTAGACAGAGCAAGAAGAACTTACTATTTCAGATCGCCTGATATCACTCCCGCTGAGTTTTTCACACTGTTGAATATTTGTGTAGTTACATTTTATATAACAGAAACATAATGATGCATTTAAAATATAACCGGAAGCTAGTTTAAGCCACAAGAATGCTTAGAATTGGGTAAAAAGTTATCATTGATGAGTTGATTTAAAATAAATGTTGCTTGATCGAGATTGCTTTGATGTTTTATCGTTTGCTTTTAGTGTTGTTTGTCTAGTGTTTTTTTGTCATTAATAAATACATTTCGTTCTACTTTTCGTTAAATAATGTGTCACCTGGTGTATTTGAGGCTTCGAATATACCTCCAACTATATAATTAGAAAATTCTGGTGCATCTAGGAAATTTTTGATAATCTCCTGCGTTATGTAAGATCGTTGACAAGTCTTTCTATAATAATCGTTCGCTCCAATAATATCAAGGACTTCAAATAACCATATGCTATCATTTTCTTCACCTGAAAATATTTGTTGGTTGGTCAAAATGTACTTAATTGTTATTCAACATAAATTTAATAAATATAAAAATAATTTTTAAATGCATTGTCTCTTCATGTTAAAGAGTGTTAAAATGTTGTACATATTTTTCATTAAGGACTCTCGTTTGGTGTCTACGAGGCCAAAGTGAGTACAGTGTAATTTGAACAATCAGACGTTATAGTGCAAAGGAAAATCATAACCTTCAAGTACTTTACTTAAATCAAATTTACAAATAACAGTCTATTATCAAAAACCAACATAACTACATTGTAAACACATTTTTTTCAAATAAGAAAGAAAAATCAATTGTAAGCGTCCATAAATATTTGAAATTGTTTATATTTATCTTGAAATCAATGTTCAAGTTAAATTCGTCAAACAACATTGGTCAATCTTTTTAGGGATATTGGGGGCTCTTGTTTTAAATTTTTTGTCATATATTTCGAAATTCCCTGGTTTGTTTCCTATATAATGCCATTATATATTTTCCTGTTAACTCCCACTACTTTTTTATAAATCTATTACATATATTCGTAAAGGCCATTTTTTTAAGAAACACCTGATCAATCTCAGTTATTTTTCATAGCTCTTGAATAAAAAAAGTTTCGATTTTAAATTTATGATTAATCTAGAGAGAATCATTTCCCGCCGAATTGTCAATATTTTATTCCTCGAAACGTGGACACAGCTATATCATTTTATCTCTGATTTAAATCATGAAAATTTATAAAAGTCTTTTAAGTAAAAACTTGTTACTTTGAAACATAAAGGCGATCATCCATTAACAGGAAAAGAGTGCTGACAAATAACAATTAATATTCTCATTATCCTACAACTAATGAACTATCTAAGAAAATCAACTCATCACAGATACAAGCTATACAATTCTGTACGCCAGACGCGCGTTTCGTCTGCAAAAGACTTAACAGTGACCATCAAATCAAAAAAGTTATAAAAGCCATTTAAAGTACGAAATTGAAGTTTTAAACATATACATACAGAGAATTAAACTTTCTATTTTTACGCTGCTGTCCAAGGAATATCAATATTTTTAAATATCCTATGTGACTGAATATTTATTTGTTATCTGATGAAATCTAAATATTGTTCAAAAGGAAATTGAAACGCCATGCAGGAGGAATATTTTTAAATCAGTATTATGAAAATTAGTTGAATTTATAGACCAAAAACCAAAAATATCTTTAATTTTTTCATTGAAAACTAGAAAAGGAAAACTTTAGTTTGATACATGACGTATTTGCATCTTATCATTCCGTTTCGAAAATTCAAAAGTCAGTGCTTTTATACCCAGTAATTGGATCATTTTGTCTGTCTACATATTATGATTATCCAGAAATTTTATTATGGATATTATCATACTTGTTTATACGATTACATATGTTTCAGTGTCCGGCTGACCTTGTTACAAAATCGAAAGATATTTACCTGAAAATTATTTTTAAATTTCACTAAAATAAGTGTTTAGTTAAATTTTCAATTTATAATTATTAATATCTATGATTTTGAATAAATAAAAAAAAATCAAAATCTCTATAACTTAAGGTGTTGCTTTTTTAATTGCTATGAATTGAACACTATGAATGCTGTTTGGAAACAAAATAAAACCGCATTAAATTAAGGGTTAAATTCAATGTTTGGAAATGTCAGTGTCAGGTACAATGTACAGTATTCCTGAAGTATTTAACGTTTGTACCCAGTAACTGACTTATTATTTTATAATACATATTCATGTAATAAATTATAAAAAAAAATTATGAAGACAAAAAAATGATGCATGCCATAATATGTGTGCTCCCAAGTATCCGTATCAAATTATTGCATTTTGCAAATTTTGAAACACTGGATATTGGTAATGAATTAATTTATTATTTTTTTTTTTTTTTTTATTAAATTTTCTGTGCTTTGTATTACTCTGATAATTAAAAACCCTTTGTAACTTTTCAGTCTTTTCAGAACCTTTTGATTAAAATAATGGCCGTTTATCAGTGATAAAACATAATATTCAACAAGCTTCAAATATCATATTTAGAACACCACTACTTTTGATACTGTTACAGATTTTCCGTATTTCAAATCATCAAATTAACATATCATTTATTGCCCTGGGTCAAAGCTGCTAAAGTTAGTACTCATTAACATGTATAGAAAAAACAGAACATGATTCGGTAGAATTTTTACTCTTTGGATAGTCATTCTTTGATTTTTAAGTATTATATTAAGTGGTTATTTTGAAGTAAAACAATGTATAACAAATCTAGTGTTTCATTTTAATTTTTTACTATTCATTTCAAAATAAAGCTTTTGCCAGCTTTCTTAATTTGCAATAATAATTTAAAACCAAAATCATGTCTAGTAAAGTTATTTTAAGATTTTGTTTTAGCTTTTGGTTATTATCTTGAATATTATCATATATAGAAATAGACTGTAAACAGCAAAAATATCAAGCAAAGAAAAAATCTACAAATAAATCAAACATGTCAAAAATCGTCAATTGACATCTAATTGGAGATATTGTCCTAGAAAGTTAGTTTCTGAATTTTATTGGTTATTTTTGTTAACTTTCTTCACAAATCTTCTGCTTTTGATTTAACTACTGGGCTAAATCAAATCAAACTTGGCCTCAATCATTATTATGGTATTATATACTATCTATTATGATGTTAACCTTATTTTACCTGATTTCCAAAAACACCGTAGATATAGGTGAGCGACACAGGCTCTTGAGAGCCTCTAGTTGAAGTTCACATCGATTTAACTTAAATTAAATACTTTACCGTCATCATTTTCGTTTGCCGTGATGTTTTCCTCTGACTGACTCATTCCGCATTTATTGTCTTCTTCCAAAGGACTCTCGTTGAATGAACATCTTACATTTCTACATAATAAAACAATGTCCGTTGTTTTCATACAATATTATAATTCCAAAGGTGAAAACTCAATCTACTACAGAAGAACAACTTATGCATGCGATATGTTTAAAGTGCGAACTTTATATGATTGTGCTAACATGCACAGGCATTTAAATGATTTAAAAATATAAACCAGTAACATTGTGAGAGTTTGTGTTTATTAATCGTTACGAAGGTAAACAAGAATGTTTGTAAAACAACGTAAAATATGTTAAAACCGTGCGGAACGATGAATTTGAAAAAGAGAAGGTTAAATCAAACCACTTCCAAAAAAAATTGTTGAATGGAAAATGTGCTTATTTCTGTCAATATTAATGAAAAGATCAAAAAATCAAAACCTTTTAGTTTATGTTATATTCTTTATTTATAGTTCACTTAGAAATATGTTATCCAAGTCCTCACTTCAAATGATGTAATTGTTTTGTTTGTTTGCAATATGCATATACTGAATCATACAATCGAAGAAACCCTTAAGTGTTCAAACCAAAATGACCGATATTCATCACAGATATTGGCTCATCAGAATTGGTTTTACTTCCCTAAAATAGTTAGAAATTATACGCTTTTCATTAAATATTTTGCAGTTTGGTGCGACAGCGATGCATATTCTAGTTTCATATATTATAATGTTAAAATTTGCTTTCCAGACTTTCTTTCGTTAACACATTCTCTTTAACTCATTCCAACCTTTTTGTTTACCTCGCATGAGACCTTTATCTGTTCCATTATTAACCATTACTTCTTTTTTATTGCCATAGATGACAAAACCTAAAGATACAAAATGAAATGAGATGTGCATATACTAATACCAAATATCATTGATTTGTCATTATTTCATATATAAAAAAGAATAATTTTTTATGATATTGACACTTTCATGAATAGAAATATTTGACTTTTACTTGTAGTTTCACTTATATTTTTGTACACAACACATATTATCGTCTAGCAAAATAGCTTTGTGGTTAAGCCTTGTCTGAAATTTTTGTCTGAAATCTAACTACATTTACTAAGGACAACATGCAGAATTAGTCGATGATATTTGAAATATTTGAAGTTGATGCAGACGTGGCTCATACATATAAAACGAAAGAAATAATATATTATGTAGGCAAACGAACTGCCATATTGAAGCCAAATAAATAAAACACTGTCATTACACAAAATTGTAGTAAGTATCGGGCAACATGAGCTCTACTCGAATATTGAACTGAACTAAGAGGCTTCGGAAGGGTAGGTAATTCTTTCTCAACATATGTAGGACACAATTAAAAATAAAGTTACTGACATCGTACACACTAATGTGTAACAGGGCTGATATGCATAAAGCTACTCAAGTTTTTTATTGGCACAACGATTGGATATCTTAATTTAAGTCGTTTTATGCATACGGGCCCAGATTTCTGCTATAATATCAACACTTTTAGAGCACATAATATAATAAGAAAACAGTGGTTTTCCTATAGTTTTTCCTTTACAATTTATTGGGTTGTCAGTTTATTTTCTACTTCTGACTTTAAATTTCTCTCTGGTATCTTCTCTCCTCTTTTATTATACATATTTGGAATTCAAACATGCGAACCATAAAAATCAACCAAAATAATCAAACAAAATATACGTTATTTCCAAATGATTTTCTGTAGTAATAGTTGTTTCTTTTCTTAGCAATATAGACGTAAAACGATAAATTTAAAATAATTTGGTTGAATACAAAGAAGTTATTACCATGTAGTAAGATATGTTTTGTAGATAACTGCATACTGTGTTGGTGATATTGTAGCCTAAAATGAAAAGAGGTATCTTTCTTTGAACTCATATAATATTTGGTTTGCGAGGTCGTTATTTTATTACTATAAAAGAAACCGTTTAAACTAAGAGATTTAGCTAGCTATACAACCAGGTTAAATTCACCGTTTTCTACACAAAGAAATGCTTGTTTTAAGTCAGGAATGTGACATATATTCGTTTGATGTGTTTCAGAATTTTATTTCTGCGTTTTGAATTTCTCTTGAAGTTTGGTATTTTTGTAATTTAACTTTTTTATATTGATACAGGGCATTGTAGTTTATATAATCAACAATTGCACCATGTATGTACGTATAAAAAGTTATACACTCAGGACACATATTTCATTGATGACTTCACTATCATTGTCTTCTTTGTTCTCCATGTTGTTTATAACCTTCTTGATGAAATACATATGAAATCGTACAAATCACGTCGTTGAAGGGTGAAACTATGTAGCTACGTCATTCGGAAAAAAAGTTAGATTATGTACATCATCATTTATGCGACAATCAAGCTTGTGGAGGTACCAGGGTCAAAATGAGTTTTGTGAATTTTATGAAGTTTACAAAGATTGAAAACACTTTGACGTGTCATTTTGCTAGATTTTGCAAAGGAAAATCAAATTAGATTTTGATAATTTTTATGTTCATTGTTTATTGCTATCTTTTATTTGGCAGAAAGGGTAATGTCTTTTTTTTGCAAAATAAAATTGTAGCTTTAATTACTGCATATTTTTTCTTTCTTTCGTAAGGAACTAAATCAATGCTAAGAAAATTAATATTAAGATATTTTATAAATCACCCAGTGGCTGTGTATTATTTGGTATTTTTTCTTATGCTCATCCTTTATCTAATGGTGAATACATTTTGTACATTTTATACATCAATCTTGACATAGTCATCAAATCCAACAAAATATCAGCCTAATGCACCTTAAGAAATTTAAAATATCTGGAAACATGACTTGACAAATTATCTAAAATTTGTTCTTCAATTGAAAGGCATTAACGTCATCGATAAGACAAAATTGAAGTCGGTAATAAAAAAAAATAGACAATAAAAATAGTATTAACTTCAGACAAAGTCATTTTTTTTTTCTAGTTTATTGTATAAGAATATATATTTTATCAATATATACATTGATACTTACAAAAATGATAAAAAAAGAGTTATTAATAATAGTTTATAATGTGTATTTTAGTAAATGCACATCCTTTTTTTGGGTATCCTGTAAATTATTTACTATATTAAAATTAAGGTAAAGAACTATTAGATGCTTTTAACATCATGTGGATATATTTGTGAAACTAATTGTAAATCCAAGGTATAAAGTGGACTAAATTTTTACACTTCTATCGCCCCTGCATAGATGGTTGGAACAGGGCCTTTAGTTTGTTAGCTGGACGACTAAGGTAATTGTATACAGGAAATATTAAGAAATAAAACTTTTATTAGCGTTAAAAAAATAAAAAATCTGTAAATTAAGAGTAAGACGGTTAGCATGTTCCTTTGTTGTAACTTTCCCTTACAAAATAACTGATTATTGAATTTAATGACATAGCATAGTTACTTATTGTACTAAATTGACTACAACATTAATACGAGACTTAAACTAAATTATCAGATATAAAGATATCACAAAATTAACGAAATTCTAAATACGTTTTTCCGTGTTTAGGGTCATACATTTCAGATATTATATGGATCAAAAAGTAAAATCACAAAAATACCGAACTCCGAGGAAATTCAATCGGAAAGTCCCTAATCACATGACAAAATCAAATGACAAAACACATCAAAAACGAATGGACAACAACTGTCATATTCCTGATTTGGTACAGCCATTTTCAAATGTAGAAAACGGTGGATTGAACCTGGTTTAATAGCGCTTAACCTCTCACTTGTACGACAGTCTCATCAAATTCCGTTATACTTACAACGATGCGTGAACAAAACAGAATTACCTTTAAAGTATTACCCGTTGTAAGAGACATGTGCACAATGGTTTTTATGTTATACGTATGTGCTTAAATCTGGTTGCTGTTTTGTCAGTTTTTTTTTGGACGGAAAATAATGCTCATTTTCGGTAAATTCATATATTTTGCGTGGTCCCTATCAATGTGAATTGTGCGACTGGTTGGATATCTCATTAAAACAAACTCACATTCTGATACCTGACACATGTAAACTTATGTATGAAAATTATTCGGAAAGCGCATTATTCCGTTATATAAATAAATTTTGAATACACACATTTATTTTTGAATTATCGGTAATTCAATTTGGACTGCAAAAAGCATTTAAAAACGGAGAGGTACGTAGTTAGTTTGTACATGTTGTATGTTGTTTGCAAAAATTCACCAGAAAAAGTCACATAAAAATATATCATACTGCATTATATCACACGATATATTTTGGATGTTATATGATATATTTTACTTTAATATTACCACTTACAAATGTAATGAGTTGAAAAGCTATCGTGATTGCAAATGACTTAATTGTCGTTAAATACTTGTAGTATTGTATGTCATGGATTATAATTCTAACAAATTCAAGGTCATTTATCTTAAACTACGATAATTGATAACGACACAAAAGAATTCTTTACACTTTATTAGTTCAGTAAATATGATGATTGATGACGAATCAATTGTTGTTATATTGTTTTTCTTATGCAGAACAATTATTAAGTAACCTTTCTATTTTATGGAATACAAAATACCCAGATTCAATTTAATTAAATCATTTAGTCTTATGACTATCGTATGCTATACCTATAATTTTTGTGAAGAGTCATGACATTATGATTGCTAAAATTATGATCTTCAAAAATAAACCATTATCAGTAGACGGCCGCATAGCTTCTTAGATTACAAATAACAAGGACAAGTATTAAACTATTTCCAATTTGTTAAGAAACTGTTCACTTATGAAACCCTTAACTTATGTAACTATATTACACTAATTCAATCTAAGTTTCGGATTTCACAAATTGATCCTAAAGCCTTTTGAGACGATTTAAATGTTCATGCTATCAATATAAAATATCAAAAGAAAACATATAGATTATTTGGAAGTATTCCAGTTCGGCATCACAATTCTTTCGTAAAAAATTGCTTAATACCATAAACTAAAGGGAATGAAAGATATAGCTGGTTGCAATGATGCTGACTAATTATTGCATATGTACACACAACTTATATAGTACATCGTTTTATACATTAATTTGGTGAAACTTGGAATAATGTTCTATGATACAAAGTATTTGTGCGGGATAT